TGCTAACTAATGTAACCGGACTTTTGCACAGCCTCACAGGTAAGCAATGAGGGGCGCCTCTTAGAGCCTATCTGTATCTCACTTGCGGCATAAAGGAACCGAAGATCGTATTGTAACTCATCTGATAAAAGTCATACATCTACTTTAGCTGGATACGCTACCGCCTAATTTGCGGTGGCTAAAGCCGGGAAAAGAAAACAATCATCCGGTTTCAAAATATTCACAATAATATGTAGTCTTTACCCATTTTTGATTAGTGATCAAGAAGTTTTGTCGTCCTAAGAGCCGGTAATCATAAAAAGAAACAGAAAAAGACGTGCGCCCGAGCTCAGGTATCATCCAATGTAGCTTTGCGCGTTCATGTAGACTATTTTTACTTTGATTGAACACTCCACCAGTGCGATGAATTGTGAGGGCAAATTGTCACTGCTTTGGGGTTTATGCAAATGTTATTTAGCCGTGTGGTCCAGTGCTTGTGGGTTATATCATCTTCACAGTAGTGTGTCGTTATGTGAATGCCTTCTCTGGTTACGGATTGCCGCAAATGGTAATCGCTTACTGTGGATGTGGATCGGAGGACGTTCTGTCTCACATCGAGTCAGTCGATCTAATTTGGATGTAATGAAGTTACGAAAAAGGTGTAAATCACCGACAATGTATTCGGAGAGACCACACAGTTGGTCTGTTTGCCACTTCAGACACAAGTTGTGGTTCCCTCATCTGCGCGTACATAGTATTTGTGGTGAATAGCCGAACTTCGCCAGCCGCTCGTCACAGACTCTGATGTGAGCGAGTCTTACATCTTGCTATGCCACGTATAGACTTCTATGCGCTTTGAGACTTAACGTCAGCGTTACAGGTTAGAAGCCGATGTGTAATTGAGAGCAGGAACCCCGACATCAGGTCATCAGAGCGCGAGCAGTGAAGCAAGAGCGGGACAGCAGATAACGAATTCATTGAGCGTTTATCTTGTAATTGTCTAGTTATAGGAATTGACCGGAGTAACTATAATATCAAGAGTGGAGGTATCACGAGAAGAGGCCACATGGTATGCTGAGTTCACCCTATGGATAATCTACATCATCGTTGTTATCGATTTAATGCCAAGTGAAGACGCAATTTTAGACAGACAAAAGACGAAGGTAGCCCATTGTTAAGCATTGTGGGCTACCTAGGCCGCCACTTGTTTTGATGTACGTTTTTGTTGATAACGTCCGCAAGTTTGTAATCTTTCAGTGTTGAGCGTGGGCACCGTTAGATTCTTGTGTCTTTACGATCAATAAAAAGTTGTGTTGATGTGCAGCTAGGTAAAGTAAAGGAGACTGGAGTGATTTCGGTGCAGTAAATAAGGTTAGCATTTTTCGGCTCGGGCTAATCCAGAAGGCTCACTGTAGTATTGATGCGATAAGAGGAACACAAGATATGTTTTTTTGTTGTTTTTCACCGAGCAAAAGTTGTATTCTAGAGATATGGAGAAAGACATACTACTCACTTATTGACCACGGGAGGCTTGTGCCGACATACTGGTGACGACGAGTGTCGATGGTCATCGTTCTTGCGCGGACTGTCCTTCAGCTACTATCCAACAGATATAAGATGCAGCTTCGCGAGTGTTAACTCTGTCAGTATGTGTTTTGAAAAAAGAGAGCCCGCCAGTGTTCCAAATACCACCAACTTCGAGCTGCAGGAGGCAGATGATCAGATGATGTCCTGGTGTTGACAAGATCGAAACTTGACATGTCCACATGAATTGAATTGTGCATCGCAGTGGGTGAGAATTGTCCAGCGAGGATTTGAACATGAAGTATCAGGTAGGAGCCGCCTGTGCTTTGTCAACACACTGGCCGTTATATACTTATTCGCTTGGGAGCATGCAACACAATCTGGGCGAAGCGGCAGTAAACCCAGTTTCTGTAATTGTGCTATGTTATCGCGGAGGAGAAAACACAGTTTATTGATCCTCTGGTGCCAGCTCCACTTGTCTTGTATAATATCTCGAGAAAGCTGTAAAAACCTTTAGAATTTAACACATATTCGATAATTAATGTAGTTTAAGTAGGTTTCATAAGAGACCTTTCACCACTCTCGGTTCTCACTCGTCTCTATGTCTTGTTCCCGCACTGACGATGGGCGATGGTATGATGAAAAGGGGGATAGTTGGCTTATCTGGCGCCCGCAGATCATCAGCAAGTGCCGAGTGAGCGAAGAGGGAGGGTGCACCCGGTACCGGTGCTAGTTGATTATTAGAATCATGGTGCTACATATCCGCTACGGATGATAAGAGAAGTATTCCTAAATAATTTGGAGGGAGAAGTCCTCTCCAGTCAGACTGAGAGGCTGATAACTACAGCTCGTGAGGTAAGGACTCTTGAGTGTTTAGATACGTTAACTTTAGTCTAAGTTCAAAAGTTTGGTCACAATTTATGTAAACACATACTTTTCCAAGCACTCCCTTTATAATTATTGAATAAAAACAGGTTTGAAATCATTCCAATGTATACTATAGGACCAGTAACGAATTCTTTAAAACTGGAGAGATACAAAAATGCATAAATAATAAATGTTAAGGTAAAATAGATATGCAATTGAACAACACAAATAATAATGAGTTCAGCATTAATTTGTTATTGCTATGGTAGTTTATTGGTTCACGCTCTACATGTGTCTTCAGTGCCGTGTGCTGGCAAAAAAATAAAAAAGTCGAGACCCCTCAAAAGTTACGGTTTATGTTATTTAAGGATGAGCACCAAGCACATCTCTCCAGGTGCTCCTTTGAGAACCAGGGCCAAAAAGGTTATGTGCACCCTGCCTATACTGATAAAATTCAAAGTAATAAAATGATCTTTACAGTGAAAAAGGTCAAATGGAACTGATGGTTCCCAAAAAATTACCAGAGGATCGAGCTCCGCCTGGACTTTATTTTTCTAAACCGTCTCTAAAAAGGTCAAAATGCACTTGTTCTTGCATCAA